CCACCATGGGGTTGCTGGGAATTGAACTCAGGACCTCTGGAAGAACAGCCAGTGCTCTTAACCTCTGAGCCATCTCTTCAGCCCCGGGGTTTGTTTCTTACATGTGGTTACTAATCGGGGTGGGGCCGAAGACAGCTTTCAGAAGCCTAGTCTCCTTCCATCAAGGGGGCTCTGGGAATCCAACTCAGGCCACCAAGAAACTTGTAAACAGGGCTTCACTCTCAAAAATCAAAGTGTCTGTGGTCTGTCTAGACAGGTGCTCAGGATGAATGGCCCTGGGTGACACTCAGTTTCATGCTTCCATGAAAGACATCAGCAAAAAGATGTTCTAAGATAATAGTCTGACTTACCCATCACCCACATGAATAAACCAAAACTAAATGTTTCATCATCAGACTCTTGTCTCCACTAATTCCAATTACAGAAGTAGTCAGAAGAAAAATCCAAACTGTACTGAAACTCAGATGCAGGTGCCTCCCACGCACTATAGTTAATCAAAGGATGACAGACGCAAGAGCAGAGCTGAAGGCTGGCAAGATGGCCCAGTGGGTAAGGATGCTTGGCACCACGCCCTGCCACCTGAGTCTGATACCTGGAATTCACATGGTGGAAAGGAGAGAGCCGACTCTTGCAAGTTGTCCTCTGACCTCTACATATATGCTGCAGAATACACACATGCACACACACACACACACACACACACACAACAAATAAATAGGAAAAGTTTTTAAGAGTGATGCTGAGCAGTCCAATTGTGTTCCCAGGGTGTATTTCTCAGCTCCACCAGAGTATTGGTGGCACAGAACAACATATAACATCAAATGAACTTGTCTTCAATGGGTCAATAGAGCTGGGGGTGGAGAGTTCAGTTAGGTAAAGTGCTAGCCTGGCATTTGTGAAGTCCTGGGTTCAATCCCAGCACTAGACAAAAAAAAGTAGGGTACTCAGGATGGAGCTCAATCGATACAGTGCGCCCGGATCCCACAGTGCAGTAATGGACCCCACACCACAGAACTGTAAATGATGGAGCACGCCAATGATCACAACACTCAGGAGGGGAAGGCAGGACCAAAAGTTCAAAGGGGGGGGGACGGGCGGGCGGGCGGGCGTGCCTTTAATCCCAGCACTCGGGAGGCAGAGCCAGGCGGATCTCTGTGAGTTCGAGGCCAGCCTGGTCTGCAGAGTGAGTTCCAGGAAAGGCGCAAAGCTACACAGAGAAACCCTGTCTCAAAAAACTAAAAAAAAAAAAAAAAAAAAAAGTTCAAGGTCATCCATCCTTAACTGAACATTGAATATGCATGAGACCCTGACTCAAAAAAAAAAAAAAAAAAAAAGCCAGATGATGATGGCACACACCTTTAATCCCAGCACTCAGAAGGTAGAGGCTGGCATCTCTGGGAGTTCAAGGCCAGCCTGGTCTACAAAGAGAGTTCCAGGAAAAAAAAAAAAAGAAGAAGAAGAAGATCATCAGTAGAACTAGAGACTCTGAGGGGAGGGAGACACTGAGGTGCACGAGGCAGAGTGTCAGCAAATTCCACAGAGCAAAGGCCATGAGCCCTCCCGTCTGTGAAGTCAGGCTCCTGTTACTTTCCGCTCACAATTAACTTGTTTACCAGCCTCCCTGAGCGGACCTCTTTTTTTTTCTTTAGAAAGTCATTATCATACACACCCTGGTCAACACTAACAAATAATTATTTTTTAATCTAAATGCCATTAAACATTGGAAAAAGAAAAATGGAACAATTAGCTCCCGTGAGCCACAGCTCAGCTGAATCATGAGCAAAGTTAGCTTCTTTTTTTCAAATTATTATTTTCTGTGTATGAGTGTCTTCTCTGTGTGTACGCCTGTGCACCACATGCATGCCTGGTGCCCAAAGAGACCAGAAGAGAGGGCATCAGATCCCGTGACATCAGAGTTGCAGACAATTATAAACCGGCATGTGAATACTGGGAATTGAACCAAGGTCTTCTGGAAGAGGAGCCTGTGATCTTTACCACTGCACCATCTCTCCAGCCCCCCAAATCAGTTATTTTTACCCCGGGTCGCCATGAGTGAATTTTTAACTTGCCCGAGTGGTTGATCTCTGACCTGACTGCTCTTGGATAATACCCAAGCAAGACAGCCTGTCTTTTGAACAGAAGGTGTTGATCTGCTCACTGTTTCCCATCTGGCTAGAGAAAGACTGCCCATCTGGGCATAGTAGGAAGCTTCCACAGGTAGCCTGCAGCCAACTGGACTCCCCCCAAAGATACCTCATCCAGGCAGGAACTCGGATGCAAACAAAAGGCAAATAGGTCTCTGCAAGGCAACAGGACGGCCTCAAATCCCTTCTAGGATTATTAAACAGCCAAGTTAAAAAAAAAAAATGTGTATAACCCCTTCTAAAATTTACAGCTCAAACTTAGGCCGTCAGGATTGGCAGTAAGGGCCTTTCCCACTGAGCCATCTCAACAGACGTGTATCTCATTTTTAAACCAACATCACATGTTTAAATTTCCAACGTATTCGTTGGCTTAGGTGAATTCTTAAAATATTTTTAAGATTTATTTTTTATCATTTTAATTACGTATAGGAGGGTGTTATCTGCATGTAGGTATGTGTAGACACTCTCAGAGCCTAGAGGCATCAGAGTCCCTGGAGGTGGAGTTACAGACCATTGTGCGCTGCCAGACATCGATGCCGGGAACAGAACCCTGGTCCTTTGCAAGAGAAGCAAGTGCTCTGAACCACTGAGCCATCCCTCTAGCCCCCACTCCTGATTTAGTGGGGTTTGGTTTGTTTGGCTTTCTGTCTGCTGCCTGAGTGCAACACCATGCCCGGCCCCACTGCTGATTAAAGAACAGATACAGAGCTCATCCCTTTCTATCACTAATAAAAATAAACCTGAGCCGGGCGGTGAGCCGGGCGGTGGCGGTGGCGGTGGCGCACGCCTTTAATCCCAGCACTCGGAGGCAGAGCCAGGCAGATCTCTGTGAGTTTGAGGCCAGCCTGGTCTACAGAGTGAGATCCAGGACAGGCACCAAAACTACACAAAGAAACCCTGTCTCAAAAAACCAAAAAAAAAAAAAACAAAAAAAAAAAAAAAACCAAAAAAAAAAAAACAAAAAAAAAAACTGAAACCAAATTTCATACTACCTCAACTTTAGTGACAAGACAAATGATGTGTCCAGTAAGATCTAAAATATAATTATTTTAAAGGCTCAAACATTGCATAGTTAAGCTAAACCCAAAACCGAAACGCTGTGCTGTGAGTCAGGAAATTAATAGTAAATAAAAAGACAATGGCAATCTAGATAAAAGCGGCAACTTGGAGAGGAATTGTAGAAAAATCTGTAGCTAACCTGGTATTAGCTGTCAAAAATTAAGGGACAGTTGAGTAGATCACCAAAAAGTGAAGAGCTGTAAACCAGAAGGCATTGGACAAGCCAGGTGACTGATTCAGCAGTCGTTACAGTGTGTCGGATTTAGGAGACTGGAGATACATTTGTGTTGACTGTAGCACGATGTTACTAAGCCAGTGCCCTTGGAATTTTGGAAAGACACAGGGAAAAGCAACGGCTGGAGAAATGGCTCAGAAGGGAAAGTGCTTACTTGAGGACAGGAGTTCAAATCCCCAGCACCACCATTAAGTGTTGGGGAGGGATGACAGCCTGTCTGTAATCCCCACACTCAGCTGGCAGAGAAAGGAAATCCCCAGAGTAAACTGGCTACCTAGACTGCCCGAAGAGGCAATGTCTGCGTTCAAGTGAGAGACCCTGACTCAATATATAAGACAGAGAGCAATCATGGGAGACAATGTCAACACACATGAATTCACACACGAATGCACATACACATATATACACTTGTATATATGTACCTGTGAAATACATACCCATACACATCACACTCACGTGCACATGCAAAAATAAATAAGGTGAAGAACCTTATTTCTGACCATGTAAAGCTAAGCACTACTATATTTTGTAAGATGTATTTTTATTTACGTGTATGTGCATGTGTGTATGCCTGTGTGAAGAATGTCACACGTGTGTGGGTGCCTTCATAAGCCAGAAGAGAGCATCAGATATCCTGAACTGGAGTTAGAGGCAGTTATGAGCTACCTAGTATGGGTTCTAGGAACCAAACTTTGGTCCTCAGAAATAGCAGCAAGTGCCCACTGCCCACAGATGCCAGAAGAGGGCATCAGAGCCCCCAGAAATGGAGTTACACACAGTTGTGAGCCACCATGTGGGTGCTGTGAATTAAACTTGGGTCCTCTAGAAGAGCAGCCAGTGCTCTTAACCACTAAGCCCCGTATGTAAATTTTTAATGGCCTTTAGAAATAACACAATACAGGGCTGGAGAGATGACTCTGTGGTTGGGAGCATCAACTGCTCTTCCAGAGGACCCAGGTTCAATTCCCAGCACCCCCATGGCAGCTCACAACTGTCTGTAACTCCAGTTCCAGAGAACCCAACACCCTCACACAGACATACATGCAAGCAAAACACTAATGCTCATAAAATGAAAATAAGCAAATAAAAAGAAATGACACAATACTTTCTAGGTGCAGTAACTCTTTATCACCATATATGATAGGAATGATTGGATCCTGTTTTGTTATAGATGTCCAAGCCTTGTTAAGTAAACAAGCCCAAACAAGAACAACAAAAGACAGAGGAAGAGCTGCAGAGAAGGCTGTGAAGTAGAGTGCTTCCTGCTCTTGCAAAGGACCAGGTTTGGTTCCCAGCACCCACGTGTCAAGGCTCACAACCAACTAACTCCAGCTCCATGCATCCAGTGCCCTCTTCATGGGAACACACACGGCATATACACAGAGAAAAAAAAAAAAAAACAGACACATATGCAAACAGAAATATATATTGGTTTTTCAAGACAGGGTTTCTCTGTGTAGTTTTGGTGCCTTTCCTGGAACTCTCTCTGTAGACCAGGCTGGCCTCAAACTCACAGAGATCCACCTGCCTCTGCATCCTGAGTGCTGAGATTAAAGCATGCGCCACCACCACCCCGCTCAGAAATACGTCTTAAGAAGACTTTTTTTTCAAGTCTTTTCAAAGAAAAGAATTTTCAACAAACCAAAATTCAGTTACATGAGCCATCTGAGAAGCACAATTATGAGAAATCCTAGAATGAGGTGTCAATGGTAACAGGGAGTGAGATAAACAGCCCCGGGCCCTTCGAGCACTGGTTCTGGTGGCCTCTCTGAATTCCTCCTCACAGGGTTTTGTAAGCGATGACTTACCACTAATTTCTGGGTCCTTTCCCTCCAATTGCTCACTTATTCTCTAGGCTAAGTCATGAGTCTAACCCGTGAGCAGCCTGACCTGGAAAGTCCCAGGATCCCCAGAGAAAAACTCACAGTTTTCACTGAGTCGGCCAACGCTTCCCACTGCTCGAATGGCATCGACATCTGGCTCCTCCGCCAGTGGTCATAGCGGGCCCGGCTCTCGGCATTGGTCAGAATCTCCTTCGCCTTCTGCAGTCTCTGAAAAGTCTCCACTGGAAAACAAGACGAGATGAACACTGCGCTCTGGGAGGATTAAACTCCAGAACCATCCACCAGATCTCACTAGCTTGACTCGGCCACACACTACGAGACTTTGGGCCTAGTCAGGCATCAGTGTCCCCACGTGTAAAATATGTCACAGAAGGACAAGTGAGGACTCGGAGAGTAAAGGTCCTTGCTACCAAGCCTGACGACCTGAGTTCAATCCCCTGAGCACACATCATGGAAGGGGATACATGACTCATGCAAGCTGTCCTCTGAGCTCCACACATGCCATATAACTAGATTTCCACACATAAGAGAATAAATTTGAAGCCGGGCAGTGGTGGTGCACGCCTTTAATCCCAGCACTTGGGAGGCAGAGCCAGGTAGATCTCTGTGAGTTCAAGGCCAGCCTGGTCTACAAAGTGAGTTCCAGGAAAGGCGCAAAACTACACAAAGAAACCCTGTTTCGAAAAACAAAAAAAAAAAAAAAAAAGAGAGAGAATAAATGTGGGGGATGAGCCAGAATTAGGTATGATCACACACACAAGAAAGAAAATGCCATCATGAAACTCACTACTGCGGTGATACTTTATTTGTGCTGAAATGTGATATTTTATTTGTATGTTAATAAATAAAGTTTGCCTGGAGATCAGAGGTCATAGTGAGCCATAAACAGAAGTCAGGTGGTGGTGACACACGCCTTTAATCCCAGTACCAACCATAGAGACCTGGAGGTCTGTATAGACAGGCAGTGACGAGGAAGTCATGTGGCTGGGCTTAGAGCCAATGAGAAAGCAGAACAGGAAGGCAATAAAGGCGCAGGTTAGACAGGAAGAGGTTCTCTTTGGGAAGCTACAGCGAGGTGGTAAGCTAAGGTTAGTCACGGCTATTTGCTATTTCTCTGATCTCTTCGGCTATCACCCCTGTATTTGGCTCTGTGTTTCTTATTTAATAAGACTGTTTAGAAATTTGTCTACACACTACTTTATTTGCTAACTTTAAAAAAAAAATGTAATGCTGGGCATGGTGGCACCCACCTCTAATCCCAGTATTAAGGAGACAGACACAGGAAGATCTCTGAGTTCAAGGTCAGACTGGTCTGTATATAAGAGTTCCAGGCCAGTCAGGGCTACATAAAGAAGCCCTGTTTCAAAAAAAAGTAGAGAATGAATGAATGAATTTGATGCCTACTAAATCATATATTTAGAAAAAAAACTGACCTAAATGTAAGAGTCTTGTGTATTAGAAACATTTTTTCCAAGATTTATTTTATTGTTCAAGCAACCACCCCTGGTGAGAAATATTTTAAATGTTAAGAGAATCCACCACACAGATTTCAAGCCCAGCGCAACTTTGAGATTTTTGGCAGTAGCTAACTCTGCAGCTCACACAACGACTGAGCCTTGTATGATAATGAATATTCAGAGACAGGTAATGCCTGGGGGGCGCTCACCAACCTAAGACAGAGTGCCTGTGTGGCCTGAGCAGGCGTCTCCATGATGGGTAAGGTGACCTGCTGACGTCCCACGCAACCTAAGTCAGAAGCTCATTTATTAGAAAAAGGGGGACCTGTAGGGTCCTGGCCCCCGTTTTGGGTAACTGTTGCCTTGCTTGCTGACCTTGACCTTGATATCCTCCCTATGCTAATTCCCTCCCGGGTTCCACCCTCCTGAATGCTTAAGGGAAGTTCCTTGTCTATGTATCCTGCATAATGGGCGTTAACAGCTTAGATGCAAGATTGTAAAACATCTGTAACTAACTTCTGCCCTCCAGGGTTTTCCATTGTGCTGTAAGCCTGTATTCAAGACCTCCTCCCTCCTTCAATAAACAGCATTCAGCATTAAAAAAAAAAAAGCCACACCCAAAAAAAAAAGAGAATCCACCAGGACCAGATGACCAAACAACAGGTTTGTTTGTTTGTTTGTTTTGTTTGTTTGTTTGTTTATGCAGAATCTCACCATGCAGCCCTGGCTGGCCTGGAACTCACTATGTAAACCAGGCTAGTCTTGAATTTACAGAGATCCACCTGCCTCTGCCTCCCAAGTGCTGGGATTAAATGTGTGCGCCATCACCACCCGGCACCTTTTTTTCTTTTTAATGAGTTAATTATCTCGGATATCACTAGTAAAGCTGACTGATACACGGGATTGTCTAGATCAGGTTGGCTTGTGTGCACGTCTATGAGGAATTACCTTAATTGATGTGTAGGACAGAGGCTGAAAGTGGGCAGCACTGCCCCTCTGCTTTGGGGTCTGGACTGTACAAAGCAGGGAAAGCTCACTGAGTACTAAGCATGCATGCATCCATTTCACTCTGTTTTGGGGTTTTTTTTTTTCCTTTGTTTTTTTAAAGATTTATTTATTATGCATACAGTGTTCTGCCTGCATACCAGAAGAGGGCACCAGATCTCATTACAGATGGTTGTGAGCCACCGTGTGATTGCTGGGAATTGAACTCAGGACCTCTGGAAGAGCAGCCAGTGCTCTTAACCTCTGAGCCATGGCTGCTCCTCCAGAGGTGTCCTCTTCTAACATGCAGGCAGAACAGTGTATACATAATAAATAAATCTTAAAAAAAAAAAAAAATCCACTCTGTTCTTGATGTGACTAATGGCTTCAAGTTCCTGCCTTGACTTTCCCCAAATGATAAACTGTAACCTGGAACTGTAAGCTAAAATAACCCTTTTCTCTAAATGTCCAGCAAAGACGGGTGAACAATGGCTTTGAACATAATAATGGTAAATCTATTTCCGTTCCTGCTGTTTTGATAAAATACCCTGATAAACGCAACTCAAGAAAGAAAGGGCTTATTTTGGCTCACATTTCGGGGGTAGAGTCCATCAGGGCAAGAGTCCTAGGACAAGAACTCAGGCAGCTGGTGGTCATAGGTCTCAGTCAGGAATCAACCAGGGATGAACACCCCTGCTCAGCCTCCTCCTTTTTCATGAAATCCAGGACCCCAGCCTGGGAACAGTGCCACCCTCCTTCAGCCTCAATCTTCTCGCCTCAGTTAACCTAATCAAGATAACCCCTCACAGCCGGGCTGTGGTGGCGCACACCTTTAATCCCAGCACTCTGGAGACAGAGGCAGTCAGATCTCTGTGAGTTCAAGGCCAGTCTGGTCTACAGATCTAGTTCCAGGACAGCCTGTCAAAACCAAAAACAAAATAATGGATTAATTAGTTAATTAAAAATAAAAAGATTAATAAATGGACATATTCAGGTAAAGAGAACACAGCACTGTTCGTAAAAAGAGACAATCGTTGGTTACAAATAAACATATCGTCATGGTAACACTCCAGTGGCTGGTGAAAATGAACTACAAGCTGACACAGAACATCACAGTGCCCACACATACAAATGTATGCTGACCGTTGTTAGGAAAGACCCATCTCAGTCCTCTCCCCTGAGGCCATCCAACAGCAAAACCAGCCCTTGGAGGGCTGGAGAGCTAATTCAGCAAGAGCACTTGCTCCTCTAAAGGACCCCAACTTGACTCCAAGCATCCATGTCAGGCAGCTGACAATCACTTGTAACTCTAGCTCAGGGAATCTCATGCCTTCTTCTGGTTTCTGCAAGCAAACACACACACACACACATAAATAAATAAAATAAAAAATAAATTTTTGTTTGTTTGTTTTGGGTTTTTTGTTTTGTTTTTGGCGTTTTGAGACAGCGAGGGTGTCTCTGGATATCCCTGGCCATATTAGAACTTGCTCTGTAGACCAGACTGGCCTTGAACTCACAGAGATCCCCCTGCCTTAGCCTTCCCATTTTTGGGATTAAAGGTGTGTACCACTACTGTCCCATAAAAAAAAAAAATAATAATAATAATAAAAAATAAAATCTTTAAAAAAAAAAGAAAAAGGAAACAGAAGGCAGGTATGGTGGTGTACGCCTTTAACCCCTAGCACTTAGGAGACAGGCAGGTGGATCTCTAAGTCTGATGCCATAGTGTGTTTCAGGCAGCCAAGGCTACATAGTGAGACACTGTCTTTAAATAAAAAAACTCACCAGGCGGTGGTGGCGCACGCCTTTAATCCCAGCACTCGGGAGGCAGAGCCAGGCGGATCTTTGTGAGTTCAAGGCCAGCCTGGTCTACAGAGTGAGATCCAGGACAGGCACAAAGCTACACAGAGAAAACCTGTCTCGGGGGAAAAAAAAAAAAAACTAACTGAATTAAAAAAAAAAAAGTAAGTTCAGCCCCAAAAAGCACTCCTCACACAAGCCTGGGAATCTGAGTTTGACCTCTAGAACCCACACAAAGGTGGAAGCAGAACACTGACTCCAAAACTGTCCTCTGACCACCCCATTTATGCCATGGCACTCATACACATACCCACACACGTCATCACCACTATCATCATTTTTAATGTAAAGAAAAACTTGGAACTGTAACTAAGAAAATGCAGGTGCTATACACAGTTCAGGTCCTATTGTGTAACAGTTTCCTCCAATACTGAAACATTTCACCCTGCAGGGAAGCTCTTTGAGCAGGAAGAGAAACGACTCAACACAGCTTCAGGAAGTCCCTGAAACTGACCAGATTCACTAATCCCCTCCCTGCCAGAGTAAGCAATAAACTCTGAGGTGCTCTCTCTTGGCCACATGCTAACTAGCTAGCGCTCTCTCTCTCTCTCTCTCTCTCTCTCTCTCTCTCTCTCTCTCTCTCTCTCTCTCTCTCTCTCTCTCTCTCTCTCTCTCCGTTTCTGTCTCTGTCTCTCTCTCTCCCTCCTCTGTCTCTTTCTCTCTTTCCCCCTCCCTCCCTCTCTCCCTCCGAGGAGCAAAGCTGAACTGCAAAGACCACTCTCAATCAAGCCAAGCTGCAAGGAAGACTGTTGAGACCAGCTGGCTGGAAGAAGCAGAAGCCAGCCAAACTGCCTAGAAGAGGTTTAGTCTAACTAAATCACTTGGAAGGGATACTCTCCAACCTGGTGAGCTGGCTGTAGGCTGTGCAGTGTGCTCCAGGTTCCCAGCTCTGTGAACTGTCATCCACACTGAGGTTGGCTTTGGTGATACAGCTGTCTTTTATTCATTTTTGCTCCTATAAAAAAAAAACCCTCACCCATATTCCTGTAAGTAACCCCAATAAAACTCATGGTTCACCAAGTTGGACTTGGGTGGTATGGGTACTTTGGTGTGTACCTATAGTGGTATACATTTGGTGGCTCCCTATCTGGGATGAGGAGACGTGTGTGCAGCATCTCCCAGGAAATGTTCTGCCACACACAGGCCCATATGCTCTTCATCCTCTTAAGAAGCATCCATTAGTAAATTCTTACCAGCTTTGGAGTTTTCCGGATGCTTGTCAGGGTGACATTCCAGAGCTCTGACCTTAAATTCTGCCAAGATTTGCTCAACCTAAAAAAAAAAAAAAAAAATCAGTGTTTCAAATAACAAGGATAGATTAAAGAAACTGGTTCTCAACCTTCCTAATGCTATGGTGACCCCCAACCATAAAATTATTTCATTGCTACTTCATAACTGTAATTCTGCTACTGTTATGAGTCATAATGTAAATATCTGATACATGATCCAAGGGATCGTGACCCACAGGTTGAGAACTACGGACTTCGTCATAGAAAACCATGCCTAGCACCCGTGTCAAAATCAGGCCTGGAGACCCACCCCTATAATCCCAGTGGAGGGGGTGCAGAAAGGAGAATCGGGGGCTCACTAGCCAGCTAGTCAGCTGAATTTGGTGAGCTGAGACTGTCTCAAAAAATAAGGCGGAAAGTGATCAAGGAAGACACCAACATCAACCTCTGGCCTTTATACACACATGTGCACAAATGTACGTTATAAGAGAATCAAATATCTTCAAGTGTCTGATAGCCATGCCTACAATTCCAGCAGAGAGCAGGGGACCAGCCGTTCAAGGTCAGACTTACCTAAATAGGGCGTTTGGGCCAAAAGTGTAATAGTAAACTTGGTGTGTGTCTGCAACAAGGTCACACTGTGTAGCCCTGGCTGGCCCGGAATTCATTATGTAGACCAGGCTGGCTTCAGACTCAAAGAGATCCACCTGCCTCTGCCTCCTGAGTGCTGGTATTAAAAGCATGTGCCACCATGCCCAGCCAGTAAACATTTTTTAAGATGTGTTTATTTTACCTGTATGGATGGTTTTTGCCTACGATGTGTGTGTCTGGTGCACACAGAGGGTCAGAAGAAGGCACTAATTCCCAGACACTGGAGTTACAGATGGTGAGCCACAGTGCTGGGAACCTAGCTCTCACCCTCTACAAGAGCAGCCAGCGCTCTTAACCACTGAGCCAACTCTCCTGGGCCCCCTAGTCAAGATTTTTAAATTAACAATTTATAAATACCCCCAAATCCTCTTTGAATAAGATTTCTATCAGGACAGAATAGAAAGCTAAGGTCTTTTTATCCTTTTCATCCCTTCAAAATACATTTTCCCTCTATGTATATCTTTGTTCTAGGAATTTTAAATAATGCAAATGAATAAAATTATACTATCTAGCAAAGAGGGTCGGGGTTTTATTGTTGCTGCTGTTCTGTTTTTAATTTATATCACCTATGAAAGCATCCTGGCGGGGGTGGGGGGCATTGGAGAGATGGCTCAGTGGTTAAGAGCACCAGCTGCTCTTCTAAAGGACCCGAGTTCAATTCCCAGCACCCACGTAACCAGCTCACAAACGTAACTACAGTTCCAGGGGACCCTGACACACTCACACAGGCAAAACCCCAAAGCACTATGCTGCCTGGGGGACCAGTCTCCAGACACCTCAGAGCTCAAAGAGAAATCCACAGCTTTGGCGTGTAGTAGACTTTTCTGTCTGAGGGGGTTAGGCACTCACACACTCTCTTGTTGGTTTCCTTCAGACATTTTCTTTATTCTTCTTTTGCATTCTCTAGTCTTTATTTTCCTGGTGATTTCCTTCTCTCATTCTTGAAGTTTCCCTTCTAGTTCCTTCTAACTCTCTCATTCTTGATGTTTTCCTTCTAGTCCATTTTAACTCTATCTTTATCTCTGTTCTTTCCCTTACAGCTTATATACCCCAGTGAAATCTGTCAGGCAATATAGGAATTACAATGTGGTTACATTCCATTTTTCAAATGAATGATCACAATGAATACAAACAGTAAAAAACAGTATGTTTTCCATATCCTGTACATGATTAAATATTTTATGTATTACATGTGAAAAAAAATTACCCCAAGAACCCACTTACATTCGTACCCAAGCAACTTGTTATAGATTAACCGTGTGGGCAAGCAGGGTATTCTTCTCAGTCAGGTCTTTTACTGGCAGGCTGCATTTTGCAGTTACAAAGAAAGGGCCAGTTACCTTATTACTTATCTTGAAAGGTAATCTTATGAGGAATCTTAAAGGAATCACAAACTTAAATTTTATATATGAAAAAAGAATCAGTCAGATCTACTTTAAATCTGTGGGGCACTCACTCATCAATAGTTTTTTGGTTTTTTTTTGGAATTAATTATCACCTTTGGTCATCAACCAATCCTAGGAAGAAAGGTCCATCAGCCAATGATAACTGGGCTGCTTTGTTCTTGTTCCCTGACCTTAAAGAGTTCCTCACTCAACTATGTGTCTTTCTAAAACTTTAGATTGTCTTCTTGGGTTTTTCACCTCAAAGCTATTTGATGAAAACATCTTAGTCCAACTTTAAGTTATTTTCAAAGCTTTGTTTCAACTGTAATGCACTCTGAAACCTGTGAACACATGTCCCAACAATAAGGTTAAAAGAATTTAAGCTAGCTGGGCTACTGGGACTCAATTGTTTTTCTTTTTTTTTTATTTTATTTTTTTTTAAAGTGTATTTATTTATTATGAATACAGCGTTCTATCTGCACATACCCCTGCAGGCCAGAAGAGGGCACCAGATCCCATTACAGATGGTTGTGAGCCACCATGTGGTTGCTGGGAATTGAACTCAGGACCCCTGGAAGAGCAGCCAGGGCTCTTAACCTCTGAGCCATCTCTCCAGCCCCAATTGTTTTTCTTAATCATTAACCTAAGTCACAGTCTATACGACTCCTCAATAGAAACTCATGTGTTGTAGCAGTGTGACACCTCCTTGTTTATATTTTTAATCATCAAAACTCTATTGAAACTAACATTATTATTATTATCATTTAGACAGTACAGCTTAGGAAGAAATCATCTTCATAATAATCCACAGGTAAAAATGCCCAGTAGAACGGGATGTTTCCATTAGCTAAATGTTGGGGAATACTATTTTAAGGTGTGTTACTTTTTTTATGCTGCATTTGTTTAGCTCTGTGAAGCTGTGTTACTGTACCTGTCTAAAACACCTGATGGTCTAATAAAGAACTGAATGGCCAATAGGGAGACAGGAGAAAAGATAGGTGGGGCTGGCAGAAAGAATTAATAGAAGGAGAAATCTGGGAGGAGGACATCAGGGGCCAGCCACCCAGCTACCCACCAGCAAGGGAGTAAGAGTGATCGTAAGATTACAGAAGTAAGAAAAGGAAAAGCCCAGAGGTAAAAGACAGACAGGTTAATTTAAAGTTAAGAAAAGCTGGCAAGCAACAAGCCAAGCTAAGGCCGAGCATTTCTAATTAAAAATAAGCCTCTGTGTGTGATTTATTTGGGAGCTGGGTGGTGGACCATCCCCCCAAAAGAAAAAAACAAACAACAGCTAAACATACTACATTACAGGCAGTGGGAAAGGATCTCCCCACACCCATTCACACCATGCCAGACACCAGAGGAAGATGGCTGGAGCAAACATGTAAAGGCACAGCAGAGCAAAAGACATTCTGGGGTCTGGGATCCCAGGGCCTTGCCTAATCCGAGATTCACCCATCAGGGATTTGCCTCCTGATGGGCTGACACTTTGAGCTGTAATTACAACCTGACGCTCCTCTGACATGGTCACCAGGAATGCGCATAAAATAAAGATTAAAAAAAAAAGGGGGGCCAGGTTAGTTAGTGGTGCATGCCTTTAATCCCAGCACTTGGAAGGCAGAGTCAGGTGGATCTCTGTGGATTTGAGACCGGTCTGGGCTACAGAGTGAGTTCCAAGACAGCCAGGGCTATGTAGAGAGACCTTGTTTCAAAATTTTTAAAAATAAATAAATAAAAAGGAAGGAAGACAAAAACCAGCATCTGAGACCAATGAGATGGTTCAGTGTATAAAGGCATTTGCCACCAAGCCCGATGACCTGAGTTTCAACACCCACATGATGGAAAGAACCAACTCCCACAACTTGTCCTCTGACCTCTGCATAATGTGGCATGCATGCATGCATGCATGCATACATACATACATACAAACACACATGTAAAAATGCTTTTTAAACATTATGGTACCAGTCTATGGAAGCAAATTGTAACTTCCCAACAGTACCAACTGCTACTTCCTTCTTTATAGTTTTTCAGTTTTGCCAATTTAAGAAAATAGCTCGTGTCTATCTTTTATTACTTCAGAGTTAAACACAAACCTTCTGTGGGGCTGACCCTGAGTAAACCAGTAAAGGGGGGCGGGTTTGTTTCCAGCACGTTCCATCTCTCTCCTGCTGTCCCCATCCCACATGCCCAGTGCCGACGACTGCAGTCCCTGGACAGACAGAGCCCTTTACGTCAAGGTCCACTCTGCCCCGCCTTCACTAAAAGCCCCGCCTTCACTAAGCCCCGCCTTCACTAAGCCCCGCCTTCACTAAGCCCCGCCTTCACTAAGCCCCGCCTTCACTAAGCCTCGCCTTCAAGATCTAGTGATCTGTCTGGACAGCTGCCTGTCCTGCTGGCAGTAAACAGAAACCATGTTTCACTTTACTTACAGTCAAATAAACCAAAACATCGAGAGGGTGAAGGAACATGACCAGTGGTCCTGGTGGTTCAAAGGCATGAACACCCAAGCTCTCCTGAATCTTAAGTAGGTGCACATTTCTAAAAGTGAATTAAAGTACATATATATAATGTATATATGCAAGGAATATAGAATGTAATATATATATATATGTGTATATATGTGTGTGTGTGTGTATATATATATACCTACTCTTTGATCCAACAATTCTAGTTCTAAAAATTTGTCTAGAGAGAAAATCTGAAATGAGACAAGAATTTATCTCTACAATGTGCGGCTTAGTGAGAGAAACAGATCATCAGAGCCACTCCAAGAGAAGGGAAGCCAGCACCACTGAAAAGGAGCTTGGGGTTTCACGGGGTGCTTTTAATTGGGCAGGAATGTGGCGGAAGGGCGCTAAGGAAAAAGGAACTGTCACCGGCAATGCCGTAGACAAAGTTGTTTTTTTTGGAGCTGGCCATTAAATTAGCAGGAGGCTGTCCCGGGGTCACCCATTGTGATGTCTTAAGTGACTCCATCTTGGACCAACGATTTGGCCCAACATACAAAGGTTCAGTGAAAAAAGAAAAATTTAACCTGGCAGTGATGGCACACGCCTTTAATCCCAGCACTCGGGAGGCAGAGGCAGGAGGATCTCCGTGAGTTCGAGGCCAGCCTAGTCTACAAAGTGAGGTGCAGGAAAGGAGCAAAGCTACATACACAGAGAAACCCTGTCTCGAAAAACCAAAAAAAAAAAAAAAAAAGAAAGAAAGAAAGAAAAAGAAAAATTTAAATAAACTTAAATAAACATGAATGTATCTATAATAGGATATTTCTTTAAACTAGTTATAACTATAGATACTAAAAATTTGCCTTGTGGTCTGGTATGGTGGCACATGTCTTTAAACCCATCACCTGTGAGGAACAAGCAAGCTGATGTCTGTGAGTTCAAGAGCAGCCTGATCTACATAGTTAGTTCCAGACCAGATAGGGCTACATAGTGAGACTCTGTCTAAAAATAAATAGATAGATAGATAGATAGATAGATAGATAGATAGATAGATAGATAAAACTAGGTAAATATTTTAAAATGTAATGCAGGCTATAGAATACGTTTACAAAATCCCAAGTACAGAGTATCCCTATGCACCAAACAGAACCCAAACATACATACATGTAGGCACTCACATATGTACATAAAACAAAAATAATAAATAAGTCTTTAAAAGAGTAACACATTTGTCTCAATTATATGATGTCTACGGAAAGCTTGATTTAAGTGATTCGAAGTTACGATATATGTCCTTCCGGTATATCTTATACAGCACATATATACGTTTTAATATTGTCTGTCATAACGCCTTCCATCACAGCTATCAGAACCACAGCGTACTTTCAGCAAAGCACCTCGAAATCATCCACGAACGTGTAGCGGGTAACAAGCCTACTACAGGTTTCAGAATTCACTTCAGCACAGGCAGACAGACACGCTGATGGTGAGCAATATTGTTTCCCAACATCCATGAGACTGTCGCTGAACGGGGCGACTACAGGCAAGCTGGCTCCGCCGGCTGAGTTCTAAACCGCAGCCTTTATTGTTTCTCGAAAGCAGTGATTCTCAACCTTCCTAATGCGGTGACCCTTTACTACAATTCCTCACGTTGTGGTGGACCCCCTCCCCCAACCATTAAATTATTTAGTTGCTACTTCACAACTGTAATTTTGCTACGGTTAGGAATCGTAATGTAAATATCTGATATGCGTCCTTATAGGGTCGAGACCCATAGGTTGAGAATCGATGCTCTGAAGTCACTGAAACTGTCTGCATACGGTCCCTAACACTTTGAAATTCATAGTACTTTCCTCAAATTAACCAGCGAGCATTTCAATCCTTCACTGTCTCTACACCGAAACTCCTTCAAAATGGTAAGGGGGCTGGAGTTCCAGGCGATGCGGCTAAAATCTCAAAGCCGACCCGGTGAGCCGGTGCCACCCCGCTTACCGAGGAGAGCTCATCGCATCCCAGGAGGGCGTAGTAGTCCTCGCCGCCCTCCGGCCTGTAGTTCAGTATCGCGTCCATTTACAGGGGTGAGTCAGTCCTCTCCGGCGCCACAGACACGGTGAGCTGCGGGGTACCAGCAAAGCTCTTTGCATTTCAGCTGCACTTTCCACGCCAGCCAGCTCGGACAGCCGACGTCAACCCGGCCCTTTGCAAACACAGCTTCTCATTGGCTGTTTGCCCAGGAGAGCACCTACCGTGCAGCGCTGCTGGGATCTGTAGTTTGCGGGGGGGGGGGGGGTGGGGGGGGGGGCGGGAGTTCTGTTGCCTTGTTTTTCTGCTGTGCTTTTATTGAAAAACAATTTTTTATACAGTATATTCTGATTGCGGTTTCCCCTCTCCCAGCTCTTCCCAGATCCTCCTAACCTCCCAACTCCATGCCTTTTTTTTTTTTTTTTAAATCTTCTCTCTTTAGAAAACTAACAAGCAAGCAAACAAAAAACAATAATAAAAGCCCCATCTGGCTTGAACCTTTGCCGACCCTGTGCGTGCTGCCACGGTCTCTGGGAGTTCATATGTATATCAGTGTAGTTTGAATTTTGACGCGGTGGTTTTTCCCTATCAGTTGATACCAGGTGTATTTTTACAAAAACTCCCCATGTTATCATCGCTGCGTTACCTAGATAGTTCGTATTTGTCTATCTTTTTAAGAGACAGAAGAAAATGTGAATTGAGTTTTTAAGATTTGTTCAATAGGAACAGTGGGTACTTTCCCAAGTGTTTAAAATAGCTTGTAATTTTCGGCAGTTGAAGATATAACCCAGTGGCCAGCGTTTGACTGCCACCAGCCAGGTCTGAGGAGAGAGAGAGAGAGGAAAGTGGAGAAGGAGACTAGGAAGAGATTATACATTTTGAGTTGGGGGGGGGGGTAGTTTGTTTTTGTTTATTTGGCTGGGTTTTTTTTCTTTTTTATTTATTTTTATTTAATGTGCATCGGTGTTTTGCCATGGACATTAACTGGAGTTACAGACTGTTGTAAACTGCCATGTGGGTGCTAGGAATTGAACCTGGGTCCTCGGGAAGAGCAGTCAGTGCTCTTGACCACTGAGCCATCTCTCCAGCCCCTTGGCTGGTTTTTTTGAGACAGGGTTTCTCTGTGTAGTTTTGGTGCCTGTCCTGGATCTTGCTCTGTAGACCAGGCTGGCCTTGAACTCACAGAGGTCTGCCTGCCTCTGCCTCCCAAGTGCTGGGATTAAAGGTGTGCACTGCCTGTGCACTGCCCTGCTGGAGATCATACATTTTGAAAAGAGTGGCTGGAGATGGCTAGTGGATAAGAGTGCTCGCTGCACTTCCGGGGAGCTTGAGTTCAGTTTCCAGTGCCCAGAACCACATTAGCCCTGGATCCCGGGAGTTCAGCACTTGACTTCCAAAGACATCTGCGCTCACATGCACACACCCACATGCAGACATACCCACCTACACATAATTAAAAATAATAAAAATTAAACAGATTAAGCAGCCAGGTATGGTGGTACATAACTTAGAATCCTATCTCAGAACATCAGATGATCACGATATGAGGAGTTCAAAGGTCAGCCTTGCCTACACAGCCAGTCTAAGGTTTGAGAACAGCCGAGGATACAGGCATGGTGGTACATGCCTTTAAACCCAGCATTTGGAGGCAGAAGCAAGAAGATCTCTGAGTTCGAGGCCAGCCTGGTCTAGAGGACCCTTACAAATCCCAACAAGACCTACCAAAAACGTGGATGCCACTTAAAGAGGGATGGTCCTGTGGAGCCATTTCTAATTCAGAGAGGGAGGATGATTGCCTCAAGGCCAGACTGATAATGACCACAACAAGCCCCAACAGCAATTATTCCAGACCATGGACACTGAAACACTACCTAACTGCCTGCAAAGACTCAAACACCCTGAAAACAGCTCTTAGGGTGCCTGTCTGCACACAGTCTCTTCCATTCATCTGTACCACGGTGTCTGTAATAAACCACTTCCGCCTCACATCGTTGGGAAATTCATGAACAACCCATGTGTCACTGGCCTATCAGCACGTTGCCCTGCACAGTAGATATGAAACGATCACATCAAGGGCACAGTCCATCGTGGCAGGGGAGTCAAGACGTCGGCAGCAGCTTGAAGCAGTTGGTCACATTGAATTCACAATCAGCAGGAAGACAGCAAATTACACGTGGTGCTTCTTAGCTGGTGTTCTCCATTTACTCAGTCCGGGGCCCATCCAAGGGAAATGTTGTCACCCACTGCAAATAGGCAGGTAGATGGTCCCACCTCAGTTAACATAATCATGATAATCATAATCATGGGCATGCCTAGAGATCCATCTCTCGGGTGATTCTAGATTCCAGAGTCTATGGTAACATTTGCCCATAGCAAATATAGCCTCTGCACTGGGGTGTACAGACAGGCAGATGCCTGGAGCTTGATGGCTAGCCAGGCTAGCCAAAGTGGTCAGCTCCAAGTTCAGCGAGAGACTATTTAAAAATAGGAGAAGCCGGGTGACCCGTGTTTTAATACTAGCACCGGGGGGGGGGGGGGGGGGGGACACACATAGATCTCTGAATTCAAGGCCAGCCTGGTCTAAAAAAGGAGTACCAGACCAGCTAGGGCTGCATAGTGAGAGCCTATCTCAAAAATAAATAAATGATGGGGATCCATAGAGAAAGACACCCAAAATTCTCTGGCTTTCCTGAGCACACACCTGTGCACACACGAGCGTGCGTGCACACACGCACACAAACTTCTAATTAAAAACAAAGGGGGAGGTTGCCAGTGCCTTCTGAGCAGGTGTGGAAACCGTTCTAAACTAAAATGACCAAATGAAAAGGAGGTTGGGCAAAACATGATCTCTTTTGCATAGCTATGTGCACCTGCACTCACTTTTTTCTGGAGGTATAGACCCTTTTTATTATATTTTATTGCTTGTTTGCGTGGGTGCACAAACGCGGAGGTCAGAGAACCACCCGTGAAAGTCAGCTCCGCCGTTCCTCTGTGTGGGTCCCGGAGACCAAACTCAGGTATGGTGACAAGCACCTTTACCAGCCGAGCCATCTCGCCGGCCCTCGAGGAATAGACCTTTTTAGGTGCAGATAATAAAACCTAACGCGAAAGCTAGGTGTGGTGGCTCATACCTGTAATCTCTATTTTTGTGAAGCTGAGGCAGGAGGACTGCGGCGAGTTCCAGGTCGGCCTAGGGCTAGAAGATCCTGCCTCAAAACAATAACAAAACACTTAACACAGTATCTCAAAGCAGAAGTAAAACTCACATAAACGTTTTCAACAGACTTGAAAGCGCTTTGAGCTCAAGATGCAGAAAGAAGTCGCAGCCATCCTCAGGACTAGCTGGCATCCAAAACCACGCAGACTCCTCCCATCCAGATGCATGGCAGCTCTGGGACTACAACTCCCATAAGGCATAGCGCTACTGCGCAAAGGGGGCGTCAGAAAATGTGTCAGAACTTCCGGCTTCCTAGAGTCGGGTCCCTGCTTAAGTGCTGCAAGGTTTACGTCTGTATCCCGTGCTAGTGTTACCTTCCTGACCCAGGCTGTTCTCTAGTTTCAGGCAATCTCCTGTCTCAGCATCCCAAGTGCTGGGATTATAGACATGGGCCACAAAACGCGGCTGAAAGTGGTGTTTTTACGTGAAATTTCCGTTTGAGCCTAGAAATAAGAGGCTACTATCCCCAGAAGTTCTGAGCGGGGACAGGACATTAGCCAGCCCACAGGTGGGCCTGTGCAGCTTCCTGGTCCCGCCTGTCTCCTCCAGACGCTCCCCGAAGTTTTGTGCAAATGGTGTCAGCTCCCGCCTTCCCCTTGGTTCTTTCCAGCCTGAGAGGTGTCCAAAGAGCAACCCCGAGTTCCAGAAATCACCTGCAACCGTTTGTCCTCTGTTCCCAGGACCTGGACACCACCGAGCACTCGGATGGAAGTCTGCGATTGTTTGTTTTTATTACATTTGTTTGTTTGTTTGTGTGTATGTGTTGTGGCACTTCAGGTGGATCACACTTGGTGGTCAACCTTGCCTGCAAACGCCTTTATCGGCTGAGCTGAGCCACGTCCAACATTCTGTATTAGAAGTCTGAATTCAGCTTGGTCCCCCACCCTCTAGGCCTGATCCTCAGAATCTACTGATCCATTTCAGCCTGAGATCCAGTGGGGAGCAAACTGATTTAACTGTCCTGTTCCCACCCCCTCCACCTGTAAAAGAGGACAAAACCCTGCCGGTTCGGGCTGCCAACGTTACAATCACCTCATCCAAGAGCAGACGTGTCAAAGAATAAACAAAAATCTAATTCTTCAAAGCTGTTTGGTTGATGTTGTTTCTTTGCTTTGGGTTTGGTTTGGTTTTGGAGACCGTGTCTCACATAATCTAGGCTGGCCTAGAGCTCACTGGAGGAGGAGGAGGATGTAGCATAGAATGATCTTGATCCTCCTGCCTCCACCTCCGTAGTACTAGGGTTACAGGTCGATGCTACCGTGAGTTTATGCTTGAGATGGACGTTCCAGCATGCTAGGCATATGCTACCAACCAAGTTACAACCCCATCTGGAGAGGCTGCAGTAGCAAATTGTAACCACGGTGATGGGGAATGCTGTTAATGCCACTGTTAGCTACATTGCATTGGATGGAAACGATGTTACTTGTGCGAAGGCAGGAGATAAACTGGTACCTAAACAGCTCTAAAACATGAGATGAGGAATGATGTGTTTGTGTGTGTGAGGCTGAAGACTCACCCTGACCTCAGCCATCCCACAGTGCTCTGTGACTAAGATGCACCCCAACTCCAGTTTTGTTTGTTTTCTTTTATTATTTTATATATATATTAAATGTTATGCCTGTAAAGGTCAAAAGAGGGATCCCCAGTCTGAAGTCACAGATGGCTGTGAGCTGACATGTGGGAGCTGAGAATTAAACCTGGTCCTCTGCAAGAGCAACAGCTCGTCAGCCACACCAACCCCAAGTTTATTAATGTTCTTAATTTTCATTTCTAAGAGAGAGACAGACAGACATGCAGGTAGCTTAGTGATGTGGGTATCAGATTCTAGGTAGCTGGTGAGCCGTCTGCCATGCGTGCTGGGTACTAGACTCGGGTCCTCTACAAGAACAGCAACAACCTCCCTCAGCTACTGAGCTTTCTCCAGCTCCCAGGTGTATTAAGTTTTAAAACATTAAACTGGGGCCAGGAG